ACCCTGAACTGACCAACCCCACACCTGAACTGACCAACCCCACACCTGAACTGACCAACCCCACACCTGAACTGACCAACCCCACACCTGAACTGACCAACCCTGAACTGACCAACCCCACACCTGAACTGACCAACCCCGAACTGACCAACCCCGAACTGACCAACCCCACACCTGAACTGACCAACCCCACACCCTGTTCCGTTCCTGCTGCTTTGTTGTATGTGGGAACGGAGGAAGGAGTGGGGAGAAGATCGGTGTTTTTGACGGTTGTAATTTATTTCTCATTCTCCTCCTCTGACTTTATTAGTAATAAATCCACTTGATTATTTAAATTGTGCCTGTTTTGTCCATCAAGTGTTTTCCTCTCTGTTTCTTATCTCAACTCATGAACCTTTTGTTAGTTTTTTTTTCCCCCTTCACTCTTCTCTACCCGGTGTGGTGGTGGGGGAGAGCGAATGAGCAGGTGTTGTGGGTGCCTGGCTTTTGGCCACCATTCCAAACCGCAACACCACTCCAAACGTTCTCCCCTAAAATTGGCGTTTTTTTTCCAAAAATTCCCTTTTTTTCCCCCAAAATCCTCATTTTTCACCCCAAAAATTCCCATTTTCCCATACCTGCTCCTGGAGCTCCGCGAGCCAATTGGCCCTCTCCTCCTCGGAGTCGGAGCTCTGCCCCAAACCCCAAATTCCTGATTTTCTCTCCAAATATTCTCCCCTAAAATTTGCATTTTTTCCCCAAAAATACCCTTTTTTCTCCAAAATTCCCTTTTTTCCCCCCAAAATCCTTATTTTTCACCCCAAAAATTCCTGTTTTTTCCCAATTTTTCTCAATTTTTTCCCCACAGCTGTTCCTGGAGCTCCGCGAGCCGGTTTGCCCTCTCCTCCTTGGAGTCGGAGCTCCGCCCCAAACCCCAACCCCATTAAACCCCAAAATTCCTGATTTTTTTTCCATTAAAAACTCAAAAATTCCCATTTTTTTCCCAAAATCCCAGCTTTACCTGCTCCTGGAGCTCTGCGAGGCGATTTGCCCTCTCCTCCTCGGAGTCGGAGCTCTGCCCCAAACCCATTTAACCCCAAAATTCCTCATTTTTTTCCATTAAAAACTCCCAGAATTCCCGTTTTTTTTCCCAAATTCCCAATTTTTTTCCCATACCTGTTCCTGGAGCTCCGCCAGCCGATTTGCCCTCTCCTCCTCAGAGTTGGAGCTCTGACCCAAACCCCAACCCCACTAAACCCCAAAATTCCCAATTTTCCCCCACAATTCCCAATTTTTTCTCCCAATTTTTCCCCTAAATTCCCATTTTTTGCCTTCAATTTTTCCCCCAAAACTCTCGACTTTTGCTCCCATTTTTCCCCTAAACGCCCAATTTTTGCTCCCTATTTTTCCCTAAACTCTCAATTTTTGCCTCCAATTTTTCCTTGAAATTCTCCACTCTTCCTCCCAATTTTCCGCCGAAACTCCCGGTTTTTGCTCCTGAAATTCCCAATTGTAGTCTCAAAAATTCCCCATATTTTCCCTAAAATAACTGATTTTTGCCCCCACTTTTTCCCCAAAATTCCAGACGTTTCTCCAGATTTTTCCCCTGAACTCCTCACTTTTGCCTCAATTTTTCCCCTAAACTCCTGATATTTTCCTCCAATTTTTACCCCAAAATTCCCATTTTTTTCCCTGATTTTTACCCCAAAATTCCCAATTTTTT